CTCTGTTAGTTGTCAGCGCAGGTCCATGGGTTAGGAATGCTAATGAGCCTCTTGGCCAGCTGAAGACTTGGTTCTCTCTCTCGCACACCCTGACGCTCACACACGCTCAGGCTCCTGCGTGCCGACTGACAAGCACACAGACAGTGCCTCGTGCACGACCCTGTCTCTCTCCTTTTCCTCTGAGCCCAGAGATCGATCGCTGACCCCACCGTTGGGCCAACGCTTTATTTATCTGGCTGCGCAATGATATTATCAGCCTTAAACGTTATATACAGCAAATGTCTTCCTAAATCAACACAATAGCATAGCTGGCAGAGAGAAGCCTGTTCTTCCTTAAAGAAATCCCTCGCTATCTCTCTATTTCTCTTTCTCCCTCTCCCGTCCAGACACCCCTCCTCCTTTCCTTCTTTACAACTGGGGGTATTTTATACGCTGGACTTGGGGATTTGATCCTTTGCTTTCTGCTTGGTTAGAGGAGGCCTTAGTAGACTAGGAGATGGATAGACACCATTATCCAGCCATCACTGAGATCCTCATCAGGGGTACCCTTATCAGCATGGTCCAACTGCCTAGACCCCCTCTATTCACATGATCCGGATTTCTCAAAATTGGAGTAGAAGGGAAGGCGAGGGGTGGAGACTCCAGTGTGCAACCTTGCACCGTGTTAATTGTTTTCTTTCCTCTCAATTACATTCATAAACCTATTTTCTGCATTGCATGTTATTTCTTTGTGCTTCAAAATTGAAACCACGTGCAGCCTTCTCCCCTCCGCACACACAATAAATGCGCTGCCCCCTCCCCCAACCCCATCGCGCAACTATTTACATCTTGGTTACTCACTCTGCGCTTCGGCCCCCGGAGAAGAAATTGGCCCCATGGGACTAGGTGAGGCTTTGTGAAAGCATCTCTCAAATCCGTAAAGACTCCTGGCGCCTTCTGGGCCTTCCCCCCCACCCCCTCCTCGCACAGGTGGTTGAGGCTTACACAGGGAGAGCTAGCAGGGAGGACATCGAAGGAGAAAGGCAGCTCCGCAGTGTCCGGCCAGGCCCACCAGCGGCCCACACCGCACCTTGGCTGCGGGGGCGCCTCTGCTGCCCTCTGGTTCACGCGCCCTGGGCGCAGCAGACCCCCGCGTAGGGAGCGGCTGCTCCCTGGGGAGCATTCCAGCCCCAGGTCCTCCCAAGCAAAGAAGTCCCACCAAAAATAAATAAATAAATCCCAAAGGGGGTGGGGGAGCTGGAAAATGGATTCGCTGACAAGGAGAGATAATAAATGAGAGGCGCTTTCAGATAGATATCTCAGACGTGAAATTGCGCCCAGCTGGTTGTGTAAGCAAACAAATAGTTTCATGTTAGGAACTCTCAACTTGTGGCTTGATGAATAGAACACGACAGAGGTAAATGGGTCTTTAACTCATTTAGGAATACAACTCTTTGGCTTCCCAAGTAAAAGGCCCAGTGACGCCACAGATCCTCGGTAGGCCCTTTAACAAGAGTTTTATTAGTTCCCACTTGTGTCCCCCTCTGCTCCTCCCCACGCTCCTCACAGTCTGCTCTTTACAGAGACATTCAGGTGATTCGTTCTGAGGAATCGCGGAGCTCACAGGAGGCGAGTCTGCTACTGTAGGAGATACTCATATAAGGAGTTCCTACAAGTGAAGGAAGAGGAAGAAGATTTTTAAAAAGAAACTTTTGGGGGGGGGGCACACTTCAAGCAGACAAGCTCAGGTTGGCTCGGATTGAGGGGGTTCCCTAGTCCCAGAGCCCTACACATAAAGCTGGGCGATGTGGCCTCGGGAGCTGACCAAGAAAGACACTTTGCGGCTTCCAGAGGCTGAGAGCCTGGACCAAACGGAGGGGCAGAGTCCCCGAGGCCGTAGGTGGTCTTGGTGGAACCAGGTTGGGATATGCCTGTATGAGCAAAGGTGATACTTTTCCTCCGTTGCGCCAGACCTTGTACCCCTGCTGTTGATAAGGCGCAGCCTCGTTCCCTAGCGATTCCCCGAAAAGAGCACGTCCTGAGATGGCCTTTCTGATGTTTTCAGCAAAGCTTGTGGCTAAGGTAGTTTAAACAGACTTCAAAGCTCCTAAAGTTCTCAGTTGTCCAGCAAGTGTTTGGGTTAGAAAAAGGAACGTCTGACGTTCCTAGTTCACAGATAATTCCGAGAGGGAAGTCACCTGTGTGGACCCCCTCCAATTGTTACGATGTATTTCCTCTGGCCCTAGGGAACCAGTTGGTTCTGCCCCGTCCAGTTAGCCAGCCCTACTCTCCTGCCTCGTTAGGGCTGCAACAGCCCCGACAGACGGAGGTGGGACTTCGCGCCCCAAGGCGCCCATCTGGCCTACATCTGCTTGCCGCCTCCTACCCCAGTTCCACGGCTCCCCCTGGCGCCCGGCATGAAGGCGGGCTCACTGCTCAGGAACCTCCCTGCGGCCACTCAGGCAGAGAAGGCTCCCACCTGCTCCACCCTGCCTCCTGCTCAGGTTCTGGACCACAACGGCAACCAGGGTCTGGGGAGGCACAGGACGCTGCATCTGATCACCGTAGCCACTACTGGGGCTTGCCCCTTCGCAATCCGAGGAGACCCAGGGTTGCGGAGTCCTTAGCGCCCTAGAAACGGCCACTGGTCAGCCCAGCGAGAGGAAGCTTTCAGATGGTTGGAGCGGAGAGGGCGCTTCCTGGCTGTCAGAACGCTCGACCCGTGGCTTAGATGCTGCAGTCTCAGCCCCTAAACTTTCCCTTAGCGCGAGCAGATTCGTGAGTCCTGCTTGCACTCTGTAAAAGTGGAAAGCCTCTGGGCTTGCGCAACTTGTTCAGGACGGGGACGCCCACATGACCCCCGAATTCCTGGGAGGCTTTGTATCTCTCTGGATGAGACACACAGAGACCTCTGGTCCTGGAAAGACGACTGTCTCTCTGCGTGTAATGCAGGCAGGGGGCACCGCAGCCACTGAGGAGATAACAGAAAAGAAACCCACTGCCCGGGGGTCCTCAGCCGAGCCACTGAGCACGCGACACGCCTTGTTCCTTTATTCCCCTCTGTCCCAGAGCCTCCTGGCTCCTAGACGGAGCCTGAGAGGGAGTCTATGAGGCCATAGGAAGGTCAATTTTTCTCTCTATGCTGTGCGGGTTGGTCTTGGGCTTGGGTCCAGGCTTAGAAAGGTCTCTGGAATTCCCCAGGCCATGGGCAACGCTCTGGCCCAGTCCAGCAAAAGCCAAGTTACCACTGTCGCCCCTGGATACGGGAGCAAGCGCCTCGTACTCGAGCCTCGGCTGGCGGGCCAGTCTCCACACTGAACGCCTTGTGCTTGGGCTTCCATATTGAAATTAATTGAAAAAATACGTTTCCGACCTACGAAAATGTTTATCTGTTTTCATCAGAGGGATCACACTGTAATGAATATATTTACATCTCATTTCAAGAAAGGCAGGGAAGATCGGTGAGCTCTCCGAGGCAGCTCGCTCCCCTCCCCCTCCTCTCGAGCTGGGGCTGCAGCCCACCCCACCCCAATTCCCACACTCTGCGATCGGGCAGCCCGGGAGGGCTCCTTGACACTTCTGGGGTGCGGTCAGGGGTTAAATATGAGCTCTCCTCACCCTGTCCTGCCTTAGGTGTCCAACCTGCAGGGAAGTCGACCTAGGCCCAAAGGTATTGTCCCTCTGCATGGTGCACAGGATGCGACCTCGGGGCAGGGCGGGACGGCTGCACAAGTGGCTCCACACCCTACACACCTGGCCACACTTGCTTAGGTGTGTCCCAGGCCGGCCCGGCTACGGGATCGTGGACCTGCGGTGGCTTCTGCACAGAATGCGGCACTGCCCATGCTGCGCTGCACCCAGAATATTAAAAACCTTAAGCGGCTTGGAGTGCAGAAGCTTGTTAGTGCATTGTGGGGGGACCTGGGGACTTCTAGACAGCGAGTTGGAAGCAAAACATTGCCAGCGACTTCTCAAAGTGAAGCTCTTGCCTCTTGCAGGCCTGTTTGGGGCTGGGGGAAGGGGAGGGGTGAGAGGTGTTATTTTAAAAGATCTGGCTTTATTAATACATTAAGAAAGAGCTCCCTTGGCAGTATATGTTCTCGCAGCGCCGGCTCGGATCCTATAAAACATTCATGCTCCGAAAGCTGTTACAGAGAGCTGCCCCCCACGCACACCCAATGAGAAGCCCAAGGGGGAGGCTTTTGCCCTCAGAGGGCCACAAGGGACCAAATGCCGCTTCAGGGAAAAATCCGTTTCAGTCCAGCTCCCCAACTCCCAGGTTCAGGGTCACGCCTCTAAGTGCCATGCGGGGGTGGGGTTCCATCCACCCACTAGAGCTCTAAGACCCTCCCGGGAACTCCTCTTGTCACAGGGTCTGGAGGGAAGGGCAAACCACAGCCATCTCTTCAGCGGACCATAAGGGGGAGCAAAGCCAGGACCCGCAGCTTTGAGGCCCCATCACTGCCTCCCAGAGCTGAGAGAGGCAGGACCCTTGAGCCGCCTGCATCCACTGGCTCAGGGCTCAGAGACGTCAGAGCAGCACTATCCCTCCCGCTAACCCCCAAGTCTGGCCCTCCACACCTCTCCGCAGCTTTTCCCACTCAGCAAGTTCCCACCTGCAGTCAGGCCCCGGGTGCTGCAGCCAAGTGACCGAAGCAGGCTGCGCCCCCCGGGGCTTGGTGTATGGAGACTCAGCTCTCTCGAGCGACCCGGCCTGACCCAGTCTCCCGCTCAGCTGCGCACGGGGCAGCCGGCAGCCCCCAAAGTCGCAGTGGCTGATGTCCGCAACCAAGGTGCTTGCCCTCCCCGCGGATCGCAACCCAGGCAGAGCCTGGCCCTCCGAATTTATAAAACCAAGGCAGCGGATTGGTTTTAGGAAATGAATCTAGCCAACTTGGTAATGGACCTCAAAAGTGCCCTCCCTCATCGCCCCCCAAACCAATTCTGACAACAGATAGGTGGAAATTAATCAGGGGTGATGATGACATGATGATGACATGTCAAGTAACCAGACACATGGGTTTTGCTAAATTCTTTTATTTTTGTTTAAATTTTCACCTCAATTTTAATTCTTGAAGAACAGCCTCGACAACATATATCGCACTCATTATAAGAAGCAAAGGGTTATATCAAAAATTATTAGTATAGAATCACAGGAAATCTGGTTTGGAACCAGAAAAAAATACAAAACAGATATAGATACATAGACACAGGACAATATTTTTTAATAATTATTTGGAAAATGTTATTTTCCCCTAATTCTTGTTTTCTTTTTTCTTTATGCGCATACGATGTTTAAATTTTACAAAAAAATGAAAATAAAGACTAGTATTTTACAAAATGAATAACAATGTTCGGTGTGTGTGTGTGTTTCTACATAGGATTCAGTCCACTTCCATATGTGTTGTTTTCTGTACAGAATATATCCACATCCGTCCGCAATAAATCCTGGAAGGTCCTTTAGTTTCCTTCTGTTTTATTAAAATTCTCATGGTCCTCTCTTCCAAAAAATTTTTTTCTTTTTCTCACCAGACACAGGGTCCTTTTTCTTTCCTTTCCAAGTGCTCACAGATCTGATCCTAAACGAGTCTCTTTTTCCTGGTTTGCAGCTCGGGTTGCATTTCTGCAGGGTGGGCTGCTCCTATCCCAGCCCTCCTCCCCCCGCCCGGCCTGCCTGGCCCGCCGCACCCGGAGTCAGCCGCCCTGGTGTCCCCGAGGCTTTGGAGTCCTTGGCCCGGGGCGGGTCCTCTAAGTCTCTAGGGAGGCAGGGGCCAGGCGGGAAGCGCCCAAGGTCTAGGAGCACTGGATGGACATGTAAGGCCAGTTGAAGCTGCTCCCAGACAGTAACATATCGCGGATGAGAGTTTCGATAGGGGTTTTACCTACCAAACGGACGAAGAAGAGCTGCTCGATGACCGAGGAGGACACCGTGCGCAGTGAGGGCAGTCGCAGCAGCAGTTTGCCGAAGCGGCTGGGCTGGTTGGGGTACTGGCTCCTCACGTACTCCTCCAGCGCGCACTGCGACTTCTCCTGCAGGCTCTCGATGTGGGCGGCATCCGACAGGCCACAGGCGTCTGCCCGAGCAGCCAGAGGAAGGAGAGACAGGGAAACGGAAACGGGGAACACGGTTAGGCTGGTGATCAGCAAAGGTACAGACAACAGCCATTCACTTTTTTTTTTAAGGAGAAAAGGAAAAAAAAAAAAAAAGATATAGAAGAAAAAAGGAAAATACTTCCATGCCTCCACATTCCCTTCTTCATTATTCCCTTCTCCCAGCCCCCAAGACAAATAAAAATAAATCGAACCCCCACCAAGCCTAGGGGAGCTGGAGAGAGAAACACACAGAGAGGCAGCAACCCCTCTAGTCCCTTTGTTTTTCCTCTTTCACCTTTGGATTAAATAATGTACAATGATGGAGCCATGTTTGCGTGTGTAGCAACCTGTCCTTGGCCTGTAGGGGAGCATCTTTCTGGCTGTGATCATTAAAGGGAGGACTTTTGCTCCTTTTGCCACTGATTTCCAAGTATTCAGGACCCCTGAAAAAATATACAGCCTGGAGGCAGTTTGTAAAGGCTTCTTGAGTTCCCTCTCAAACCCAAACAACCCCAACCAGAAACCTCAAGGAGAACCTAGATGGTGTAGTGAACAAACACATCGGAGGGGGCAAGGAATCATGAGCTGGCAGTGCTTGGAATCAGATCAAGCCCATGCTTTGGCAATATAGGATTTGAGATCCACTATCTATGCTAGCAAAGACTCTGCAGTAAATCCTCAGTGAGGGTGTACACTTCTATCTGTGCCTTAGATCAAGTAATTGAAAATTGGTCACATCTCTGTAAGCTATATGATAATCAGGAGGAATATGGCTCAGTTATTCCAGGCTGCGGAAAGGAGACATCCTCAGTGATCAGACACAAAGCTGGGCTAGGGAAAGCTAATGCTGCTGCTTCAGAACAGGGAGTGGGGGGTGGAAGGGTGGGAAGGTAAGGGGGGATTTGGGGAGATAGGCTTCCTGCGGCAAGACCAAGGGACAAAAAGGCACCTCCACACAATGACAGCATCTCAAAATCTGTGTGCTTATCTCATGTCAATCAAGGCCCTCTTAGTCCTCTAAAAAATATTTCAGGACAGCAGATTATATCAACCAACTAGAGGCAGGCAAATAGAGGGAAAAATGGAATCACAGAAATGGAGTAAAGGCTTCCTCTTGTAGTTCAAATACCCATGTTGTTTCTTATATTAATAATAAATATTAAAAACAAACAAACAAAAACAAACAAACTAAAAACCCCAGGAAGATCACAGAAGAGCCCTTAGCCAGTCAGGAGGTTGACTAGAGATCAAAGGCAGAATTTGCTAATATATAGATCTGGAAAGAAATTCGTGCATGGCAATGCCCCCAAAAGGACATTGTATGATTGTGAATGGGCAAGTGTGACCCTAAGAAGACACAGCAAATAATTCAAAGCAAAACCTGTGTCTGCTGAGTTTCTGAGCATTATGTCCTTATATTTCAAGAGCTAGGATTTACAAAGCATTCTAACACCTTCATCTACAAGGCTCTGGCCTTGAGCAAAAATACAAATAAAAGTAGCACTAATTCAAGAACTTCTGAGGCAAGTCCCCTTTGACATCAGATCCAGACTGGGTTCCTCTCAGATGTCTAATTACTCCAGCTAGCCAGTTGGGTGCATTCACACTGGCCTAACTTGGCAAGACAGTGAGATTTTATTGCTGGCAGGGCCAGGGCAGGAGCTCCTTGGAGCTCCACTGCTTAGAGAGGGGTCCTTGAAGTCTGCCCTTGGCCCTGCTTGCTAACGTGGCCCCACTGAATGGCCATCATGCAGACCCATATTTACATATATCTTGCTTTACATGCATTATCTGCCCTTTATGCCATGGATCACTCTCAGCCCCAGACAATGCAATATGAAAGGACCCACTGATACCCCAGCAGGTTTTTTTTTTTTTTTTTAAAGGTCCATATGGCATCCCCTCAGATCAGTAAAATATTTATCTGTTATTTATGAGTAGGGTCCCCAGAGTGCAAGGTCACTTCCTGACTCCCAGATAGACCACTTCAAGAGAGGCCCAGGAAAGGCACACTTGGGCCCTGTGCTGGCTGCTTCCATTTCTTTCCTCCTTTAGAGGTTGAATGATTGCAGCTGGGCCTGCCTGCCAGATACCAGCCTGCCAGCCCTATGGCCTCCCTCTGGCAGGAACCTTAGTTCTGGCCTGACTTCCCAGTCTGGGTATTTGTTCACCCCCCATGACAGGATTCCCCCAACTGTGGACAGACGGTATGAGCTCTCAGATCAATTGGGGGGTTGTGGTGGCAAAGCTAGGTGAGCAGGGGGTATAATGCAGTACATATTTACACTCTGTGAGTTATACTCCAGATAAGAAAAGGAGGCAGAATGTGCAAAATCCATGTCTCACTTTTTATATGGTAGTGTCAATGTGGGAACCCTCAATATTTCTTCTACAGTGTATAGTAAAGAAATTATGTAAATAAATAACCATTACTGCTCATGCCCTACTGGCTTAGCCTTTGTAGTGCAGAGAATGTATTTCATGTTGTGCATTCAGAAGAGTTTAGTGTTCAGGAAATATAGATGTAATCAGCTGCCATAACTAGAAATCAAAGTTATTATTGTGCTGAAAACGGATTTATTGTATTTATGTTAACTAGATGGCTCCTTTCAGAAAAGGTCTCATTTATTTGAAGGAATATTCAGGTGTATGAATTAATGAAAAAAAAAATTTTTTTTAAAGTAAGTTCAGGTCATGACCTAGTCTTGGATGCTATCCAGAATATTAAGGATTAAACATACCATCCGGAGGCCAAATGTGAAAACCACCACGGGGGACCCCCCGTGCCAGCTTCAGATACTTAGCCAGAGTAAACCACGTTGGACAATATGTCTAAAACTGCCTTTTCCATCATTCAAAGTTTGCTTAAAAGTTGGATGACTTTGAGAAGGCTTCCCATGAATTCCCTTCTGGCTAGCAATCAAAACAAGTTTAGTTGAAAGTGGAAATGTGTTGTATGGGGAGGGGGTGAATTACTACTGACAGCTCTATTTCCATTTTCAGATATTCTACTTGCAATTTTCTAACAAAATAATGTTATTGTTCACTTCTAGGCACTGCTTGCACCTTGAAGACTTGGTTCAGGAAACTTCTTTGGAAAACTTTTTTTTAAAGGAACACTTTTCACAGGAATGTTTTAGGATGGAGAGTTAAAAGAAAAGCATGAATAATTCCACAATGTTCCCTGCAGCCTGCACAGTCCTCGCCTCTCTCTGGGAAAGGGCATAAGATCAGTAAAGTCAAGGGGGTTCAAAGAACCTTAGGGGAACAAGGAAAAGGGAGGGCAGACCTTTCTTGAGAAGACCTCTGTCCAGCTCCAAGTCACATTTCTGCTTCAAGACACCTCACTGGATGAGATTTTAAAACCCCAGCTTCCCTGACACTGGCTTGCTTCCTGATGAATTTGGCTAAAGAGTTGGGTACTGGAGAGCCAGCCAGCCCCCAGGCCTGCCAGAGCTGAAGCAGCCTGGTTGCTGCTTCCCAGGCTCTTTGTCACTTTTGAAAAACACGTTTCCATCAAGAAGACTTATTAAGATAAAATGCATTCAAACACTGAGGAGTCTATTCAATAAATCTTCCATTTGTTTTAAGGTTTGCACTTTATCCTCTTGCAAAGAATAACTCCCTCTCTCACTAGCAGACCTGCATTTGCACTGAAAGTAAAAGGGGGGCAGTCCAAGTCCATGGCTCTGGCCACCCTGCATACAAATGAGATGCTCTTGTCTAAATAAATTATCTGCTGCTCAGATCGATATTAATACTACATTTGCTACATTACAATATTGTGCAAATTTAAGAGTCATTTTAATACAATGTAAATATGATTCTTCACGCATGAAAGCCAAGAAATATTGATAGATTATACCACTGCTTACTGTTCAACAAGGCCTTGGGAAAGGGGTTTTGCCATCTCCGCTCAAGAATGGTTTTAATTGGCCTTTGGAGGGTCTGGGCTCTCGAATAGATTTATAAGGATGGTTTATTTGTTCTCCGAAAGGAGGAATTAAAAACAATAGTGTCAATAACGGTGGTAAAACTACAGCTAACCCTGCTCACAGTGGGCAGGGCCCAAGACCCAGGCTAAGCAGCTCTTTCCTCCACCGGCGTTTTGTCTGGCTTTGTTTATATTTCCCCCCATTACCTGCTGTCCCGGGTGTTTATATGTTTCCCTCTTGCAGGTTACAATAATAAAAGGCGGGCAGTGTTCTCAGAGGCTGAGACCAGAGCCCTTCAAAGGCAACGTTAATGCACGTTCCTGGAAGTTAATTTGAACCATCTATCATAAGAGAAACTGTTAACATGCACATTACCAGTGCCTACTCTTAATTTGATATTTTTAAGGCACTCTGTTAAATTTCCAATGTTTGCATGTTTTGCATAGCTATGAAATTTATCTCCGGGCCGGGGATCCTCCCATACTTGCGGGTTCTACAGTACTGCTTTTGTTTTTCATCTGTCTTGTTTAGATCGAATCCGTTTTTTACGACCCTCAATAACCTCAGCAACTGCAAACATGAATGGTTTCCGATAAGGGAAAATCAGGCAGCAATAAAGCAGGATTATTTATGATTTATTTGTGCATATAATCCTCTTCCCACCTCTCTCTGTGTCCCTCTGTGTCGGGAAGCTCATCCAGGAAGCATGCCACACAGAGTAGGAAGCCCCAGTCCCACGTTGCCTTCCTTCCCTCTCCTCCCCCAGAAACGCTGAGCTCCGGCTCACACATACACACACGCACACCCCGCACACACGCGCAGCCAGACGGATCTACAGCACCGCCTCTGCCCTCTCCCCAGACACACACCCGCCGCAGCCGCAGCCGCGGCCTCGCGCGGGGGGC